GGGCTCACTTTTTTTTTTTTTTTTTTTTTGGAGACAGAGTCTCTCTCTGTCGCCCAGGCTGGAGTGCAGTGGCCGGATCTCAGCTCACTGCAAGCTCCGCCTCCCGGGTTCACGCCATTCTCCTGCCTCAGCCTCCCGGAGTAGCTGGGACTACAGGCGCCCGCCACCTCGCCCGGCTAGTTTTTTGTGGTTTTTTTTTTAGTAGAGACGGGGTTTCACCGCGTTAGTCAGGATGGTCTCGATCTCCTGACCTCGTGATCTGCCCGTCTCGGCCTCCCAAAGTGCTGGGATTACAGGCTTGAGCCACTGCGCCCGGCCGATGGGCTCTCTCTCATTGGTGGTTCCCAACCCCGGTGGCTCACACAGGTCATGAGGCACTTTTTAAAAAAATGTGAAAGTCTAATAGTTGGCAAAGGATGCATTCAGAATAACGTGAACGAATCTCAAGGGCAAGAAAACAACCCACTCTGAAAATGGCCGGAAGACTTTGCTGCAGACCAAATGTTTGTATGCCTCTCAAATTCTTATGTTGAAACCCTAACCCTGAAGATAATGAGATTACATGGGGTCTTTGGGAGGCGATTAGGTCATGAAGGGGGAGCCCTCATGAATGGGATTAGTGCCCTTCTAAGACCCCAAAGAAATCCCCTCACCCCTTCTGCCATGTGAGGACACAGCAGGAAGGCACTGTCTGTGAACCAGCAAGAGGCCCTCACCAAACACTGAGTCGGCCTTGATCTCAAACTCTCCAGCCTACAGAACTGTGAGAAATACATTCCCTTTGTTTTCAGCCAGCAGCCTACGGTACCTTGTTTCAGCAGCCCAAACAGTAAGATGTCACATGACCCAGCAACTGCACTCCTGGGTGCTTACCCTAGATAAATGAAAATGTGTGTTCACACAGAAACGTATTCAGAGACGTAAACCAGTTCTATCCAAACAAACAAACAAACTGGAATCAACCCAAATGTCCTTCAACAGGAGAATGGAGACATTCAGTTAAAAAATTACTGAATCTGAGGCCCCACTCACCTCATAACCACATCTTCAAATCTGAAAGTAAAATCCTGGCAACAGTATATTTTTTTGAGACAGAGTCTCACTCTGTCTCCTAGACTGGAGTGCAATGGTGCAACCTTGGCTCACTGCAATCTCCAGCTCCTGGGTTCGAGCGATTCTCCGGCCTCAGCTTCGTGAGTATCTGGGATTACAGGCATGTGCCACCACGCCCAGATAATTTTCATATTTTTAGTAGAGACGCAGTTTCACCATGTTGGCCACACTAGTCTTGAACTCCTGACCTCAGGTGATCCGCCCACCTTGGCCTCCCAAAGTGCTGGGATGACAGGCATGAGCCACTGTGGCCGCCGGCCGACAGTATTTTTTAAAAGCTACCAGGTGAGTTCTACCACATTCTACCAGCACAGGAGCCTCTCCTCGGCTGTCCTCTCTTTCTCATCGTGCAACGCCTCAGTGAAAACTCTGAGGACAGGCGGGGACCCACAGACCAGATGCCGAGAAACCCCAATGCACAGTAGCGCCCCCAGATGTCAGCTGTCTCTACACCACCGTCAGTTGCAATGGCTATTGCCTGGGCTCTTATTGCTCTTCTTTACTTTTACCTAAAACTAAAATAACACTGACTTAAGACCATGTTGTATCATTGCCGGAAATGGAAAGCCAGTATCCTGTGCCAGAGAGAGAGGCCGCGGGCAATTCAATCACTCACAGCAGTGTTATTCCAGTCCACGTGGACACTGATAGAAGAAGGCTCTGAGCCTGAGATCTGCTCTCATTAAAACGAGAGTAACAAATATAAGAGAGATGCTAAAGACATCCCAGAGCCACAGTGAGAGGTTTGCCTCGGAGAAAGCAGAGAGAGCGCAGGAGAGTCCTGATGGCCCTGGAGCCCAGCAATTTCCGAACTTTTAGATTCACTGAACCAATAGAACTCTCACTACATCCCTGAATGGAAGATTTTTTTTTTAATTTTGCAAGATATATACATTAAAAGCAACAATAACCACCACCTACTTTTACCATCTTTTCCTGAAAGAACATTTTAATGCCAATGAAACAGATGGCATGAGCTCAGAGTAATAACAGTGGCTGAAATCTACCTAGACAGCACCCATGTGCCACGTCCTGTTTTGAGGAGTCATGGAAACTGGATAGGGCGCAACCCCGAGGCTAACGGATTCCATGTTAGTTCTATTCCACTCCCACTTCACCTTGCATTGACCTCACCTCTATGGCAGACAGAACAATGGCCCCAGAGACGTACATGGTCTGATCCCCAGAACCTGTCACCCGATGTCTCAGGGCAACAGGGACTCTGCAGACGGGAGGGAGTTAAGCACTGACATGGGGTAACTCTCCTGAACTATCCTGATGGGCCCAATGTCATCACAGGCATCCTAAGATATGACCACAGTACACCATGGAATACTATGCAGCCATGAAAAGGAATGAGTTCATGTCCTTTGCAGGGACATGGATGAACTAGAAGCTGTCATCCTCAGCAAACTAACACAGGAACAGAAAACCAAACACCGCATGCTCTCATTCAGAAGTGGGAGCTGAACAATGAGAACACATGGCCACAGGGAGGGGAACATCACACAGTTCCTGTTTGGGGATGTTGGGGGATGGGGGAAGGGGAGAGACAGTATTAAGACAAACACCTGAGGCATGTGGGACTTAAAACCTAGATGACTGGTTGGTACGTGCAGCAAACCTTCATGGCACATGTAACAAACCTGCATGTTCAGCACATGTATCCCAGAACTTAAAGTAAAATAAATAAATAAATAAAAGAAGTGACCATGGGACCTAAGGGGGTCAAGGTCAGAGGAGTGAAGGGGGCTGGAAGCAGAGGTCGGAGTGCAGCACTCTGAGGATGGAGGAAGGGCCATGAGCCAAGGAATGCGGGCAGCCTCCAGGTGCTGGGAAAGGCCCAAAACGGATTCTCTCCTAGAGCCTTGAGAAGAGACGTGGCTCTGCAGACAACACCTTGATTTTGGAGCCTTGAGAAGGGACGTGGTTCTGCAGACACCTCGATTTTGGGCCATGAGTCCAAACCATTTTGGGCTTCTGACCTCCAGAACCGTAACAGACTTGTGTGATTTGTAAGCTGCTGGGTCTGCGATTTGTTACAACCTACTTTCGGGAACAATGACCCAGAAGGAGGGTGAGGATGGAGAAGCCAGAGCCGGCACAGAGGTGCCAGGAGGTGGGAGCAGAGGAGGGGTGAGCTGCATCCCAGACAATAAGAGGGGGGAGTGTTTGGGGGCTGGTCAGGCTGCTTGAGAAGGGAGATGGACGAGGCCACTGGCAGCCTTGACAGGAGCTGCTCCCTCTGGAAGAAAGGAAGGACGCCCGGCTGCCGTGGACTGAAGGCTTTGCTTGCTTTGCCTCACTGAGATGCCACCTCTCTGCTGCTACATCCCAGCACCCAGCAGGCACTCGGTACGCACTTACAAGGAACACCCGGCCGCTCTGACTCTTCACCCTCCTGCCACTGGGGACTCAGGCCTCGCGCAAACACCCCCTCACTCAGGGCCGTTGCACTGGCTGCTCCCGCGGCCTGGACCACTCTTATCAGAGGTCTCTGCGTGGCTGCCTGCCGCTATCACCAAGGCCCCACACAGCAGCCACCAGCCAAGGGAGAGTGCCACTACTGAAAGGACGGTATTTTGAATACATTGGGGTCCATGAAGTAAATTCACCTTTTTTTAATGTGGTGACTAGAAGACTTAAGATGGCGTCTGCGGCTCACATAACACATCCCCCCGGGGACAGGACTCTAAGCCAGGCTGGCAGCTTCCCCAACGGGGCCAGGCAGTCAACGTTTCCAGCTCCTCGGGCCCTCTGTGGTCCTCACGGTGGCCAGCATCAGCCCCAGATGACGCCAGTGGATGGGTGTGGCTGTGCACCTCACAGTGGCCAGCGTCAGCCCCAGGTGACGTGAGTGGATGGGTGTGGCTGTGCACCTCACGGTGGCAAGAGTCAGCCCCAGGTGGCGTGAGCGGATGGGTGTGGCTGTGCACCTCGGTGGCCAGCGTCAGCCGCCAGGTGACATGGTAGTTAGTGTGGCTGTGTGCCTCACGGTGGCAGAGTCAGCCACAGGTGACCTCAGTGGATGGAGTGTGGCTGTGCACACTCCCGCGGTGGCCAACATCAGCCCCAGGTAGCGTGGTGGATGGGTGTGGCTGTGCACCTCACGGTGGCAGATGAGTGGATGGGTGTGGCTGTGCACCTCACGGTGGCAAGAGTCAGCCACAGGTGACGTGAGTGGATGGGTGTGGCTGTGCACCAAGCCTTCACCCAGAACGTAAGTCGGCCCTTGCCTGCCGTGCGGTCAAGCAACCAAACCTGCCCAGAGAGAGGCCTGGCTTTGCCCTCCACCCTGGGAAGTCATCTCTGAGCCCTTGGAGCATCCCGCATGAGGAAGGTCTGCCTGCCCCGGGGCCTCAGGCCAGCCCAACAGCAAGATGGATTTGAGGTGGAGTTTGGGCCGGGGTATCCTTGACTTTCGGGGGGCTGGAGGCTGAGGTCAGCCACACAGAGCGGGGAGAAGTCCCCAGTGAGAACCCGGGACACCAGGGTTTGAGGAGCGTCCCTGGCTGGCAACGCTCCCTGCGTGCGGGCGGAGTGCGGGGAGAGGACAGCCGGTAACTGCTCTCCCTGGAACCTTCCTGGCCCTCTTCCCAGCTGCTTCCAGCGCGTCCTTCTCCGTGATAAGCCGTGACCGTGAACACATCTGTGAGTCCTTCTAGAGAACTCGCAAGTATGCCAGGGTCCTGGGGCCCTCCTGACTTACAGCTGGTGTTGGGACGGAGGCGCCCCACGTGGACTGGCCCTCCACGCTGTGCCGCAGCCTACCCACCGTGAGGCACACTGGTTGTCAGGGGTTCAGCGGTGCTCCTCCGTGGGCTTCCTGGTGGCTTCCCGGCTGCCCTCCCCGCTCCCTTCCCCGCTTGCAGCCCCGCCAGGCTCACCCAGAGCTCCTCCAGCAGGGCCACCGCCTCCTCACCGCTCTGCGGCTGCCGGCTGCACACCCAGGCCTGCGTGTCGGCGGGCAGCGCGCTCAGGAACTGCTCCAGCACCAGCAGCTCCAGCATCTGCTCCTTGGTGTGCACCTCGGGCCGCAGCCAGTCCCGGCACAGGGCGCGGAGCAGCCCCAGGGCCTCGCGCGGGCCCGGCGCGTCGCCCAGGTGGAAGCGGCGGAAGCGGTGCCACGGGGAGTCCAGCGCCAGGCCCTCGGCCTCCTGCTTCACGGGCACCGCCACCTCCATGGGGCCTCCTGGACCGCAGCGCCTGCAGGGAACAGGCCAGTGAGACCCCCGCCCGCCGAGACCCCTGCCCACGGTGCCCAGACTCACACTGGGACCCACGCTCCTTTTTTTCACTTTTTATTATTTTGAAACGGAGTTTCGCTCTTTCCCCCAGGCAGAAGTGCAGTGGCGGATCTCGGCTCACTGCAATCTTGGCTCCCGGGTTCACGCGATTCTCCTGCCTCAGCCTCCCAAGTAGCTGGAATTACAGGCACCCGCCACCACGCCTGGCTAATTTTTGTATTTTTAGTAGAGACGGGGTTTCGCCATGTTGGCCAGGCTGGTCTCCATCTCCTGACCTCAGGTGATCCGCCCGCCTCGGCCTCTCAAAGTGCTGAGATTACAACAGGCGTGAGCCATGGCACCCAGCCTGGGACCCGCGCTTCTGAGCCGCCCACGTACCCAGGATAGGCCCGGCCTCTGTGCCTCGGTTTCCCCTGTAAGATAAAGCACTCACCTGCCCCGCCTGGCCCAGGAGGCAAAGAGGTCTCTGTGAGGGGGCCGCGCTCACTCAGGTGGTGCGGAAAGGGCGTGCCCTTCCTGGGATCCCAGGGAGCCAAGTCAAGGCTGGGCCCCGTGGTGGATCCTGGGCCTCTGTGCCTCAGTCCTGCAGTTCTCCCACAGCCTGTCCTGAGAATTCAACCAGAAAACACGGGAAGAGCTTGCAGCAGGCCTGGCAGTAGCGGGTCACCATCAGCACCACCCTCACTGGACTTGTGGGACAGTGCCCCCCATACCCTGGCAGCAGACGCTTGGCAGCCTACTCAGAAGCCACCCCAACTAACTGCTGTGGCCGGAATTTGTCCCCGAAAATTCTTTTATCCCGTAATACTCCAGAGGTGTTCTGGGGCGGGCTGGCGCCTGAGCCCCATGGGGTTGTCAGGGTCCCTTGGAAGCTCTCACTCCAGTGTGACTGTATTTGGAGATGGGAGCTTTTAGCTGGTAATGAAGGTTAACTGAGGTCACAAGGGCTGGGCCTAATAGGACTGTGGCCTTGTAAGAGGAAGGAACACTGGGACTCTGTCCATCTCTGCCAACAGGAGCACACAGCAAGGAGGCCGCCTGCAGCCTGGCAGAGGCCCTCACCAGGAACTGACCATGATAGCATTCTGAGCTTCCCGCCCCCAGAACTGAGAAATAAGCTCATGTTTAAGCAGTTCAGTCCATGGAGCTCCTCTATGACAGCCTGTCCCAGTCTCTTCTGCTGCGAATTTGCGATCTGGGTGTCAGTACTGACGGGTTCTGGTAAGTATCTCTTCCAGGCTGTGGATGGTCTCCTTTGGTGTCCTCCCGTGGCGGAGAGCAGAGAAAGGCAGTGAGCTCTCCTGTCTCTATTTTTTTTTTAATTTTTGTTTTGAGACGGAGTCTCACTCTGTTGCCCAGGCTGGAGTACAGTGGTGCGATCTCGGCTCACTGCAATCTCCGCCTCCCGGGGTCAAGTGATTCTCCTGCCTCAGCCTCCCGAGTAGCTGGGATTATAGATGCACGTTACCACGCCCGGATAATTTTTGTATTTTTAGTAGAAACGGGGTTTCGCCAGGTTGGCCAGGCTAGTCTCAAACTCCTGACCTCAAGTGATCCACCTGCCTCGGCCTCCAAAAGTGCTGGGATTACAGGCGTGAGCCACCGCGCCCAGCCATGATTGCCATTTTTAAATGCATTAATAAATACTTCAAAATGTTCTATTTCAGTTTCTACTGTGATATGTAACAATAGATATGACTCCCATCAATAAAAGCATGTTAGGGTCTTCAGTAATTTTGAAGGCAGAAAGGAGTCCTGACTTCAAAACATTTGGGAAACAGTGGTCTCCGAGCTGGTGGGCCAAATCTGGCCTGCAGCCTGTTTCACTTAGGTCTCAGTGGCACACATCCGTGCTCACTTACTCATGCACTGACCACAGCCACCTTGGAGCTACTGAGTGGCTGTGACAGGGCCTGGGGAGCCTGCAAGGCTGTCCACAGAGTCCAAGACAGTTATTTGCTGGCTCTTTACAGGAAAAGATTGCGGGTCCCTGGCCTCAAGGACACTGGAAGATCAGGACAGAAGGGACCCTGATGACCCCATGGGGCTCAGGCGCCAGCCCGCCCCAGAACACCTCTGGAGTATTACGGGAGAAAAGAATCAGTTCTGTCCTATCTGGGGCCCTGTACTTGGGGTCTCTTCATTACGGCAGCTTGACCTGTATCATGAGGAACTACGGCAAAGTCCCCTTGACCACAAGGAAGCGGGTGGGCACGTCATCTGCTTCTAGCCAGCGGGGTCTGAGAGGAAGTCTGGGTTCAGACCATTTTCCTCCTGATACAACCAAAGCCTGGGCTCCTGACCGCCATGTCACTAACCACAAATGTCATGTCATTGCTGGGACGCCTGCCACAAGAACCCAGTGTCTGCCTGCTCTCGCCACCTAGAGTCAAATCACTCCACAGTGATCACAAAAACTTTTTCACTGTAAATCCCTGTCACTTCCTTGCTCAACACCCTCCAACTGCTTCCTGTGATGCTCAAAACCCAAATTCCTTACTATGGCCATGAGACCATGCAGCCCGGCCCTACTTTCTCATCTCTGCCCGCTCCCGGATTCTCTGTCCTCCAGTCACAATGGCTCCCCTTTTCTTTTTCCTTTTTTTTTTAAAGACAGGGTCTCTCTCTGTCGCTCAGACTGGAGTGCAGTGGTGTGACTTCTCAGCTCATTGCAGCCCCAACCTCCCGGGCTCAAGCCATCCTCCTGGCTCAGACTCCCGAGTAGCTGGAACCACAGGTAGGCACCAACACACCCAGCTAATTTTTATATTTTTTGTAGAGACAGGGTCTCACTATATTGCGCAGGCTGGTCTCAAGCTCCTGGATTCAAGTGATCCTCCCACCTCAGCCTCTCAAAGTGCTGGGATTACAGGAGTGAGCCACTGTGCCTGGTCTGGCTCACTTTCTATCTTCTCGGACTGAAGGCCAGTGCCCACCTCAGGGCCTCTGCACCTGCTACTGCCTCCCCCTGGCACTCTTTTCCCCCTGATCTTTGCTTACCTGACTCCTTCTCATGACGGAGGCCTCAATGCAATTATTCCCCCCTTGGAGAGCCTCCCCAGATCACTGCCCCCCAATGCTGCACCCACATGCCCTTCCCCCAATTGCTAACATGTCACCTTTATTAGTTTTCTTTTAGCATTTAACAAGATCTAGTGTTACGATACCTGTCTGCTGACTTTCTTCACTACAATTCAAGCTCCCTGCGGGCAAGAGACTACGCATTCCAACCCCAGCATTCTGACTAGCACTCAACAAACTTTACAGGCTGATCAATCCCATGACGTTGGTGTTACTACCCCCAAGTTGCAGATGGAGCAAGGGGAGATGTCTTATCCAAAGTCACTCAGCTAACATGTGGCAGGGCCTGGACTCACACATCCACATCTGTCTGGCTCCACAGACAGGCCACGGCATCACCTCCCACCCCACCCATCCATCAGTTTAAGGACTGATGAACCCAGAGGGCAGAAAGGCTTATCGGAAGACCCAGGCCAGATGCAAGTCTCAAAAGCCACACAGAGGCCTGCTCTGCTATAAAAAAAGATCTCTCTGGGACTAAGGAGGAATTTCTGCCAGAGAGCAAGGCCACAGGCCATCAGGCTGACCCTGTTTGCAACCTCAGAGGTGATCACAGGTCACTATGCCCGGGGCTGTCCAGAAAATGAGCTCTTTGGGGCAGTGACCAAGTCCAACTCTTCTCAGGGTCCCTGGGGCCACCCAGCAGAGGGCCTGCACCCAGGAAAGCACGTGCTGTTAAGTAAGGGCATCCCACCATGTAAATCCACCCTACCGTCCAATAAGTGCCCTGTGCTATGTGCATTCAACAGCTGTAACCCTGCTGCCTAGCTGTCTGTGTCCGCAAAGCACAGTCCAGCCCTGAGCCAGGCACCCTGGATGCCTCGAAGACAGCCACTGAGTGGCTAGTGTCTTATCCTGCCCCACCCAACCTTCCCAACAGACCTGTGAGCTGGGGAGAGGGGTCCCCTTATACCATAGGGAGATGCTCAGAGAGTGAGGAAGCCACAAATGGGACCCAGATGTGACTCCAGAGTCCACACCAGTTCCACCCAGTACCCCGGCGCCAGCACCCACGCATGCTGGGCTAATATCATGGCTGAGAGGCTGTGGAGCTTGGCTGCCTGGCTTCAACTTCCAGCTCTGCCACTCATCAGCAGTGTGACTGTGGACGTGTGACTTGCCCTCTCTGTGCTTCATTTCTCCACCTGTGACACAGGGCTAACAATAGCTCCCTCCTCTCAAGAGGCTGCTGGGAGCAGGAGTTAGAAGCAGCCTGCAAAGAGTAGGTGCTCAACAAAGACCGGTTTGTCTACTCCGGAGTTTCCCAACCTCGACATTAATGGCACTTGTGTTGTGGGAGGCTATCCTGTGCAACACACAATGTCTACCAGCATCTCTGCCTCTTTTCATGAGATGCCAGCAGCACTTCCAAGGTTGGAAAAACAAATAAAAGTCTCCAGACATTGCCACATGTCCCCTGCGGGACAAAACCACTCCTGGTTGAGAGCCGCTAGCCCACTGGACAAATATTTACCTACAGCACAAAGGCTCTGGGGCAAATTCCAGCTCTGCCTCCTACCAGTTCTGTGTCCTTGGACAAGGTACAAGGTACCTTTTGTAATACACTGTATCTCCATTTCGCTGACTGTAAAGTGATGGAAAACAAAAGTGCTGAGAACCACACCTGGCTGGTAAGTGTCCAGTCAGACTTAGGGTTACTTTGTCGAAGGTTTCCTGCAAGGTGCCCAGGGGACACTGCTGTGAACACGCACACAGATTAAAATACTAAGTATACATTGGAATAGGCATTAAGATGGATATAGACGAGGGTGACTCATCCTGACTGGGGTAGAGGTGGCGGGGGTCAACTTCAGATGACAATAAACAGTTTCTAAGCACTTTACACATATTACCGAAGGTAATAATGCCTTGCAACAAGCTAAAAAGGCAGATGCTCCTCAACGAGTTATCTTCAGGAATCTCACAACTCTGTAAAAGTTGCACTTGTAGAAGCAGCGCACAAAAAGAGCCACCTGCACTGTATCTACGTTACAACAATAACCATCGTCCCCGGAAGCCCCTGCCCGCAAACCTTTCCGAAGGGGTCCGGTCCCGGCGCCCCCAGACTCCTTTGTAGGGTCCAGCTTCCCACTCCGCTTTCATCTCACAGCCCACCCCTGCTTGGGTCCCCTTCCCTTCCCCCACCTGTCCCTCCCCCTTCCCTCCCCCATCTGTCCCCCCCCTTCCCCTCCCCTCCCCGCAAGTCTCCCATCTCTCCCATCTCTCCCTCCTGAGGGCCCCGGCGCCCCTCTTCCCGTCCAACCGCTGGTCCCTCCCTCGTCCAACCGCCCCCCTCCGATCCCTCCCTCCTTCCCCCCTAGCTCACCTCACTCTCTCAGGCGATGCCCCCCAAGCCCCTCACCTCCCCGCACATGCGCACAAAGCTCACTGGGACTCCATGCCCCAGCAGGCTTTGCGCCAAACACCAACCCCCCCCCCCGTCCCCCTCCCCCAATCCCATACTCCGAGTCGCTCGTTCTGCCCAACAACTCCCCATGCGGCCCCGGCCTCAAGCCGAACTACAACTCCCAGGAAGCATCGCGGCAAAGGCAGCTGCCCATTGGCCCTCGCCGTGGGGACCCGCTCACCCTTGTTTGTCACCGCATGGCGTCTTCCCCAACACTGGAACTACATTTCCCAAGATGCACGAAAGCGTCGTCTGCGGCCTATTGGGCCTTGACGGCGCAAGTGTCGCGGGCTCTCTGAACGCGTCAGGCTTTGGAATACATTTCCCAGAATGCACGAGGAGGCTTCCCAGTAGTCTGCGCGCGGGCCCTGGGCATGCGCAGACGTGCCGAGGAAAAAAGAGGGAGGAGTAGGAGGAGCCATGGCGGCGCTGTTGTGGAGATTAGGGGAGGTCGGGCACCGCCGGGCATTTGGGAGGTGGGGCCTCCAGAGCTCTAGAAGCTGGCAAGCGAAGAGGAGGAGGAGACCAAGCTAGAGTTCTGCGCCAATCAGGAGTGCAGGCTACGTCTCCTTGACTACGGATCGCTTTTTTTGTGTGTGTGTCCTCACTCTCCACCCGGGCAGAACTTAAGAGCCGATGTCGGTGCCAGGAATCAGGACGTGAGCGGGCTGCCCTCCTGTTCCGGGGTGGGCGGTGGTTCAGGAGGGGGCCAGCGCGGGGGCCTCGGTTTGGCTCTTCCTGTGTGAAGCTGGACAGGACACCGCCCTCTCTTTAGCCTCAGTTTTTCCTGGTGTGAACTGGGGGACAGCGCTACCTGCCGCGCGTCCTCGCTCTGCCCCATTGGACAGACTACTTCCCCGTCCTGAGGCCTCAGTTTCTGCATCTCAGGACTGTGAAG